CCCCAACAACAACAACAAACAAACAAAAAACAACAAAATAACAAAATCAAGAACTCGACAACAAAAACAAAACAAAACAATTTTTTAAAAAGAAGGAAAAATTTGACCTGCCTGAAAAGAGTTTAAGAGATTCTGAAATGTATATTTTTATTGATCCTCTGCCCATTTCTTTCTTCCTTTCACACATACTAAAGTCCAGCAGCTGTGGTGTAACGGTTAGATGCTTCCAGCGTGTAAAGCATTTGTGAGGCAGCGTGGTGGAATCAGGCTCTGGTAAAAATAATCAAATAGAAGAAACTTGCATTTTTTCCGTAGGTTTACGAATTTTTATCAAATTTTTGTTTTTTGTCTCAACACCTGTCATACCTATTACTCATTTCTGTGAATTTTTTTTCTGAAAAACATTCATTAAAGGCACACAAATGTAAATTTTCAGTTACCACGTACTCTTAAGCTAAGGAAATAACTTATCTTTGGCGGCCATTTTCTCACTAATTTTATCTCTGAAAACAGGTGACCTCCACCTCCTTCTTTCGTAAATATCCCGACTTATATTCAAGATAAATGGATATTTTTAAAATGAAAATAAAGACAATTGAACAAGCTTTAAGATGATACCAATAACTCTACATGCCCCAAAAATTAACAAGAGCCTGATTCCACCACGCTGCCTCACATTTTAATCGAGTCTCTTGGTCTTTTTGCGGGGACGTTGTATCCATCTCAGACTTTGGTTGTCCTGGACAGGTAGGGCCAAATCCCACTCCTTTAAATGATTTAAACTGTTTCGATGGGGGTGTAAAACATTTACATTTGTTTTATTTTCACAGACTTAAAAACTGTCAACTTCACTTTCCCACCAACTCCTGTCCCTGCGAAGGAGACAATTTACATCTGCCAAATTTTCGAAGTTCCCGATGGAGATTTCCACATGGTGGCCACCCAGCCTATAGTTGATAACGAGGGTGTTCTTCACCATATGAGTCTATTTGGATGTGCTGGTAAGTCTCTCTCTCTCTCTCTCTCTCTCTCTCTCTCTCTA